CTTTAACCCAAGACCACCAGTAAGGTGATAAAGCGTCCTCCCTTCCCCCCTTTACATCTACGCCCCTGTTCAGCATGAAGAAGCCAGAGAGTCGGCATCCAATTCCCAAATCAATAAGACAGTTGGCTTAATTACTATTGGAAAATGCTTGTCATTCCTCTGTAGCATCTGGTCCCCACTGGACCCTCAGCATTTTCTTCACCTGCTCCCCCATCGACCAAACTGTGCAGCTCTACAACTCCATCCTAGCCATCCTCATCCTTCTGCCCCCAACTCTCACCTCCTTGTACCCCCAATATGTTTTTCCCAATTAAAAAAAAGAAAAAAAGAAATCACAAGAGGGACAGGGACGATGGAGAACGAAAGCAATATTGTGTTGGTAGATTTTTTTTTAGCCAAATATGGATTATCATGTAGAATATTATTTTCATGTCTTTCTCTAATTTATTAAATAAAGGAGATTTTGTGACACCTGAAAGAATACTCTATCCATACCACTTTTTAAAATTCATTATATGTAATGCTATAAAGTAGTTGGCTACACTGGTGGTTTAGTGTTAAGAAGCTGCACTACCAATACAAAAGCATATGGTCTGAATCCACAAGGTTTTCCATGGGAGAAAGATAGGCCATCTCTTCCCATGCAATTTATTGCCTTTGATCTGATTCTGACGCAATGATACCCAATACCATCACCACAATGTTGGTAGAATCACTTAATCATTTAGTCAACAATCATAGAATATATACTATGTCCTACACTGGTCTAGTTTCTAAGGCTGTAACAGTAAACAGAGCAGAGAAAAATTTCACCTTTACAGAGATTGCATTTTAGTGCAAGAAAAACATAAAATAAAGATGCAAATTATACATGAAGTAAAAGAATGTTTAGCATTAAAGAAAAAAAAATAAAGGAGGATGGCATGCAGGTGTAGGAAGGATTGTTGTGTTAGGTGCCGTAGAGTTGAATACGACTCATAGCGACCCCATGAACAAAAGATCTGAACCCTGTTCTATCCTGCATCCTCACACTTCCTGGCACACAAGAGCCCATTGTGGCAGTCACTGTCTCAATCCACCTAGTTGACGGTCTTCCTCTCCTTTGTCGACCCTCCCCCCTTTCCAGAATCATGTCCTTCTCCAAGGAGTAGCCCCTCCTAGCAACATGCCCTAGGTTTGTGAGGCAAAGCCTCATCATTCTTGCCTCTAAAAAGCACTCTGGCTGCACTGTCTCCAAGAAAAACTTGTTTGTTCTCTTGACTGTCTATGGGATGTTCAATGCTCTTCTCCAATACTGTAACTCAAAGTTGTCAATTACTTTTCTGTCATCCTTATTCATTTTCCAGCTCTCAGATACATACAGGTAATCAGAAAGACTATGGACTGAATCTGACACACCTTAGTCCTCAAACTGACATCATTACTCCTCAATAATTTGGAGGTCCCCATCTGCAAATTTTCCCAGTGCAATGCATCTCCTTTTTCCCTGACCAAGATGAAGTTGGTGACTGTTTCAATCTCCTCTCCATCATGATGCTGCATATTGGTCCAGTGCTAAGAATCTCTGTATCATTGAAATGCAATCCACACTGAAGGCTTGATCTTCTTCAACAAGTGCAACAACAAGTTGTTGTTGGGTGCTACTGAGTCAAGTACGACTCATAGTAACGCTATGAACAACAGATCTGAACCCTATCTTATTCTGTGTCTTTCTCACAATCTCTGATACACCTGAACCCATTACAGCAGTCACTGTGTCAATTCATCTGGCTGAGAGTCTCCTTTCCACTGAACCTCAACTTCCAAGCATAATGTAAGATTAAGAATATTATGTTAGGTATTGTTGAGTATGACTCATAGTTACCATATGAAAAATACACCTGAACCCTGTCATATCCTGGGCCATTGTCATAATCTGACATATTGAGCCCACTGCTATAATCACTGTGTCAATGCAGCTGGTTGAGGGTCTTCCTCTCTTTGGTTGATCTTGTATCTTTTCAAGCATCATGTCCCTTTCCTAGTAAGTATGCCCAAAGTATAAGAGATGAAGCTTTATCAGCACTTTGGTTGCATTTTCTCCAAGACATATTTGTTTGTTCAGGGCGTATTCAGTAATATTGTCCAAAACCACAGCTCAGAGGCATCAATTCTTCTGTCATCTTTATTCACTGTCCAGCCTCAGATGCATAATAAGTGATTGAAAAGATCATACTCTGAATGAGATGCACTATAGTCCTCACATTTACATCATTGCTCCTCAATAATTTTGGGAGTCCATGACTACAGACTTTCCCAGTACAATATATCTCCTTATCTCTTGACTGCTAGATCCAAGTAAAATGAAGTCATTAATAGTTTCAATATTTTCTCCAATTATCATGATGTTGCCTACTGCTCCCATAGATTATTGATGACTCTTCCTTCAACTCTGATGCCACATTCTTCTTCAAATTCCAGCTGCTCAAATAATTTGCTCAGCACACAGACTGAACAGGTATTGAAAAAGGATACAACATTGACATACAACTTTCTTAATTTTAAGTCATGGAGACTTCATTTAATATCACCCCTTGCTTGTTAGGTCTCTTATTTCAGAGCTGCACTGACCTGGAAGTCAAACCTTTTATTTTAGAAGAGCCATCAACCTGGTATTCAGGCCTTTTTTACAAGACAAAAACACAACACAACAAAACAAAAAAACATAACATTTCACCATTAGGCCCTCATGTCTCTGGCCTTTGAGCCTTGTGTGGAATATCAGCATCAAAAAATCAGGAGACAATGTTGTGATGTTAATATTCACATTGAGGTCATAACTTTGTTGTGCCAGCTATATGTCTTAGCCAGAAAGCTTCAACATCCACCTAGGGCCCCGTATTGCCACACCATTACAGGCTTCAATTGGATCCAGCAACATTGATATGCCTGATTTGTCATTAGAGAAACAACATTTCTCTGTCAGTTTGTTGTGTTAGGGGAATGATATTGCTAATTACTTTATAGCTTAATTATTTATATTCCTGCTTGCTTATCACTGTTTTTATTAGTACAGCACTTGTATGTTAGTTTGCTGTACTGAAGTAACTTGTGGATTACTGTAATGCTAAAAAAGTTATACCACCGGCATAAAGGTGAAATGCCAGAAGGGTCGGTCATTCATGATGGACAAGTTTTAGCAGAGTTTTCAGTTTATGATGAACTTGTAAGCAGAATTGGTCATCCACCTTAAATAGCAGTAGGCTTGTAAAAACCCTATGAACATGGACAGTTAATAGTATTAGACATAGGGCCCAGATTCAAAGGAGGAAGGAACCAGAAGAGGCGGCCAGTGAGTGAGCAAGGAAAGGGAGTAGGTAAGATCAGAGAGTTAAGAGAAACCAGATTATTCAGGGATTTTTCAGACCATTCTAAGAACTCTCCACCAAAGGAAATGTTCTAATTAGAGAATGATATAATCTCACTTATTTTTTTAATGTGATTATTATTCTGGCTATACTGGTGAGAACAGAGAGACTACAGTGAAGAAATGTGAGCAACTGTAGAAGTAAGAGTAATCAGGAAATTCTAGAAGAGAAATTACAATGGCAGTTGGCAGAAGTGCAGATAGTACTAAGTCACCAGATTCTACATACAATTTAAAGATAACTCACAGGAGTTGCTGAGAGATGAGATGTAGAGGAGGGGAGGGGAGGACAAAGAAATTTAAACATAATACAAAACGTTTGGACTGAATAAACTGAAGAGATGAGTTGTTATTAAGACAGGGATGTTTGTTGATGAAATGGATTTAAAGAGAAAAGTAGAAGCTACGAGTGGATGTTACTAGCCATCTAAGTAAACAGACAAGTCTGACAAGTCTACAAGTCTGCAGCGCAGGGCGATAAGTGATTTAATACATGGTTGGTATTAAGAACCACAGGACAAGAAACTTCACAAAGGTAGAATTATTTCTTATTTAGTCTAGAATTCTAGGAATTACCTTTTTCAATGCTTTATACAAAAATATTACTCAATAACGGAACTATTAAAACAAAGAAATTCTTCTGTAAGAAGGTTTTAATACTGACAGAAGCAGGCAGCTCCAAAAGAACTGAATTGCAGAAAGTATGCACAGAAGTCATCAATATGTGAAGTGGCAATTTTGGCTATATTTCAAGGTTATGCCAAAGTTCTGGGTTTTGAAACAAGAACTGTGTTTAGGAAGATTTTTTAAAAAAATTTTTGTTGGTTTTCAAATGCCAAAATGAGCTCCATTATTTGACACTTTCTTTACTCTATCCGTCCCACACTAACATGTACAAACGCCTGACAGTAATCCAAAAAGATTAACTCATATTCATCTGACAATGAATTTTTGATACAGAAACATTTCCGTGAGTTGGGTGGACAAGAGATCAATTTTAAGACATTCAATCCATGGTAGTCATGCACTCTAAGATGTGGAAGCAGCTCTCTACTGAAGTATGATGAAGAAAGGGAAATATTTGGTTTCAAAATAGAAAAGGTTATTTGACTACAGAAAACATTTTGTTGTTGTTTATTATAGAATATTTAATACAATGTCATGCAACAGCTATATTCAAAAGTTAATTATCTAGAATAGTGCTTTATTATTCAGGAAGGTGCATAAAGAATGCACCTGGGGCCCAGGCCCAGCCTAGTTTGACTTAATAGACTGTGATGGGTCCTGAGTCATAGTGACCTTAAAAGGTTCCAAATTGTGAAGACTCCTAAACTGAGAACTACCAGTACAGACTGCAACTATTTTCTGTTAACTGTTACTTTTTCTTATTTTCAAGTATCTACCAGAAGTCTCATAAAAATCTAAGATTATTTAATCATATATTTAATTACTTTCTTAGCTGGATATAATGAAGGTCAGATTTTAACAATTACTGTACCATTAATATTCAATCTGGCATTCAGAATCACAAAGGTGGTAATTTTTATTCCTCTAATAAAAGTAATTCACCGGTAAGTAGAAATAAATGACTTACCCGTTCCACAGCTGCATTATGGTATGGGAGCTCCTGCTCACTACAGAGGAAAAAGAATACATGTGAGATAGCTGTAATGTAATTGCTTTTATGTGATTATGTGTTTTGAATAGCCATTTATCATCACAGGAGTTACTTAAGTTTCCATTTCATTGGCTAGGAATATTCAGTAGCCACAATGCTCTCAATCTTCAAATTTCTAGCACTGTAGTTTAATAGAGTAACCACTATCCACATGTAAATTAAAATATAAATTAGGACTAAACAAAATTTAAAGTTTCGTTTCTCAGTCTCATAAGTTATTTCAAGTATACAGAAGCCATGCAGCTACTCTACTGAAAGGTGCAGACAAGGAACATTCCCACTACTGCAATAAAAGTTCTATTGCACAGCATCAAACTCAATCAGGAGTGCAGGAGTCAGCAAATTTATCCTATAAAAAGACAGTAAATATTTTATGCTTTGTGAGCTACACAGTCTCTACTGCAACTCTGCTGTTGCAAGCAACCATAGCTGATGAGTAAATTGAGCATGATTGTGTGTTCCTATAAACTTGACTTTGAAAAAAACAGACAGCTGGTGGTATTTGGTCTATAGGCCAACTTTAAGATCATCTCTTCTACTCTCTGGTTCAAACTATGACCTATAGTAGATGACTGCTTAAAAATTTAACACAAGGAAATTTATCTGCAGCTGATGTATGAATTAAGAAGAAATTGTCAACTTTTATTCTATACAGTAAGAAGATTGTTAACACTTCAATGGGTTTTAAAAATACAGAACAAAAGATCTCACTTATTGACATAGCATATTTTGTGACTTTGTCTCTAATATAAAATACCCTGAGATCCTTGTATTGCCAGTAATATAATAATATGCTATCCGTCAACAAAGTTTTGTGCTGTACTGCTATCTAAGTAGCATGGATGTTTTGGCACCAATACATATGTACATACTTTTTAAAAAAAAAAAGAAATATACTGGTTTACAAAGTTCATATACATTGTTTTTCACACTGGATCTTTCCCATTTACTTCACCCATCAAATTGTGTGGCCCTATGATTAACTCACTTGCCCATCTGCACTCCTCTACTCTCACCCTCCCCCTTCCCTTGGGTCCTCATACTTGTTCTACAATACATACATACTCTTGCCTTGGTGTAAGATCAAACAATACTGCTTTCAAAAGTTTGATAAATTAATATTCGAGAATGCAATTTTTTTGAAGGTCAGTTGGCCTTGTGGACAGAGAGTGATGCTACCAAGCCAAAGGTGGGTGATTTTAATCTGTGGCCCTTAGACATGATATTAATTGGTTTTGGTCAAACATTCTTTAAAGTGGCATAGCTCTGGTCTGTGCATTTGCTGGATAGAGGTAACTCAAGGTTGCTGTGAGGCTGAACACTGTGACACTGATGTGTCAAATGTGACAATGGCTACCCAGGATGGACAGTGTTTGGTGGAGCCCCCCGATTAAAACAAACTTGGAAGCAGGAGTGGCATCCACTTCCAAAATAGCTTGCCTCCAGAAACTCTATGAACTTTGAGAAATGATGAAAGTTATACAAGTGTTCCAGTCTTTCGTTCATAGAGTTGTTATGAGTCATCTAAGACTCAACAACACTTAACAATAACAACAACCCTCATTACTTGAAAGAGTTATCAGGTGAACCACTGAACCAACGAAGTTAAGAGACAAAAGAGATCTTACAGAGAGTACAAAAATAGCTTGGCCATAGAAAGTGATTGTTAATACAGAGATGTCTAGCCTTGGTAGAGTATTGCTTAACATACTGGTCTGCTAACTCAAAAGTTGCCAGTATGAGTCCATGAATTTTCCCTGGGACAATGTCTTTAAGGGCAATGTCCTCCCATAAAGATTTACAACCTCAGAAACCTGATAAAAGGTTACTATGACTAAGAATCAACTCAAGAACAGTGGGAGAATTATCTAACCCAGTGGGTTCAAATTTATACTAGGTCTTCAAACTGTTGAAGAGTATATGAAGAAATGAAAGTTGAGAAATCAATTCCAAGAAGAAAGAAACTCTGAAGGCTAGATGTACAAATCAGCAGATAGACAGTAGAACAAGAATATGTCCGTTTTCACATACAAATTTTTTTGCATTATTTCTTCACAAGCCAAACATTTTACATATAATCTCTTACATCTTCCTCCTTAATGCTGTGCATTGCCATGTATTATTTTTCATAGCTTTGCCAGCAGAATACAGAAGAAATTTATCTTCTTCAACAAGTATACATGTAAAGCACTGCACCAGAATCTAGTGTCTAGCCCATTGCAGGAGCTCAATATATACAGGTGAGTGAATGTATGAAAGGAAGCATGGAAATGTGTCTGCACACATACCTATCTTTACCCTCCTATCTAGCCTTCAAGCAGAAGAAAGGAAGCATCAAAATCAGGGTAAATATAGGACCTTCCTTAGGCTGGCAAACTGGAAACTTTGCCTGTTGGCTGTTTTTAGAAATAAGTTTTACTGGAATGTAGCCACAATAATTAATTTACTACTATCGAGGGCTGTTTTCATGCAACAACAGTAGGGCTGAGTAGTTGTGATACAAAGTCAAGATGTTTAATATCTGACTTTTACAGAAAATGTTTCCCAACACTCCTTTAAAGACCAATAGTTTATCAGTCAAATTGAAAGGGTAGCTAAAGGCTGTGTAAAGAAAACACACTGTAATCAAGTAGCTGTAGTATTATTTTTTAACATTGTAAATTAAAAGCAAAACAACCCCAAAACCTAGTCAACTTGTAAAGAGAATTCTGCTATTAAACTATAAAGAGTTACTAATTAGTTGTAAGTGCTCATAATTTTCTTAATAGCTCAGGTGAAGTATTCCTCTAACTGTTAAGATATACTCATGGGAAATGTAAAACTTGTTAAAATCAATACACTTAACATACTGACTAAATTTGATGTTTGTTTTTAGAGTAAATTTTATACAAATTTAGAGTTAATCTAGACACAATTTATAGGATGGGTAAAAAAGTTCTTAAACTCTTCAATCTCCATAGGTATCCTTTAAAAACAAACCCCCCCAAAAAAATCTTTGTTCTGGCTTCCATATATTTATATAGTCAGAGTAAATATAGACTGCTAAATTTTACACATATAAACACTTCAATAAATAGTTGAAAATCTGAACCTTGACATTAATTTTATCTTCTCTATTTCTGTACATAATTTCCTTCTAAGCAGTCTATTAATAACTTGTGACCTAGAAGTATTATTCCATCATTATCCAAATACCAAGAATTCTTTGTTGAGCAGACTAGCAATGACTACTTTGAAAGTTTAAAAGTTAAATGTTGAAAACACTTAAAGTTCCCGTGTCCTAACTAAAATCTATTTTTCCATTCTCCATATGTAACTTGTTCACAGGCACACAGACTGGGGATAATGCCACACATCTGAGTACTAGACAGCAGTGCTATTCTATCAGCAAGCCAATGCTATTGAGCAAAAACATTAGTGTTTATTGTGAAATCTGTTATAACACTAATTTCTAATCCAAGTTTGTTAATTACTATCATACTTGCACATAATAAGTAATTTATTAAAAATTACAGTTAAAGTCAGAAATTTTCAGAATAAGCTGGAAAGGGTTTTTTTAAATCTATTTTTGCCATTTTATTGACATTGACAGTTAAAATTCAATTCATTGCTGAATCAATCAACAATTCAGAAGACTTAAGACAGCAGAAAGACATGCTCTTCTAATTGAAATAAGAGAAGGAACACTATATAAAGGCCTATGCCAAGTGACTAAGCAACAGCACCCAAAACTCCACTCTCCAATGACTTAGCAATTAGCCATATCTTTGGCAACCTTTGAAGAAAGTATTTTACCTAAATTAGGCATTGTAGTATAAACCAGTGATTTTTGCACACCTAAATAAAGCCTAAATCAGAATCTGTCTCCTAGCTTCATTGTTTTCATTTATGTTGTTTGCTTAAGACTGCATTCTGGAGTCAATAGTATTTAAAATCAATTTAATAATATGAAAGCTGGCACCAATCTGCTCCATCCTCAAGAGTGTGATTATTTAAAACTATTGTTTTATTTAGGCACTTGTTCTCTCCTTTGTTTTCTTTACAGATCTTTAAAAGCATTTATTCTGACTCACATTGATTATTGTCAAGCTGGAACTCACCTATAGCTAACCCTCTGGTGGTTTTTCAGAGGCTGTAAACTGCAAGGAATGACAATGTCCATCTTTCTCTTTTGGGCCAGCTGGTGGATTCAAACCAGCAGAGAATAACCACCTTTGCATTAGCAATGCAGTTCCCTATGGAGTATGTTACCAAAAAATAGTAATGGGCACTACAGGCTCTGCAGTCTCATTTACTGCTTAGGCCCAGATCTCAGGTCTGATACTTAACTGTCAGTTTAACAAGTTACTTGGCCTCTCTCTGTTTCAGTTTCATCATTTAAAAAAATTTTTAAGTACCTACTCCAGAGAGGTTTTGAAAGAATAAATGAATTAATCTATTTGTTGTTGTTATGTACCACTAAATCAGAACTGACCCACAGTTGACCCTCCAGAGGGTTTTCAAAGGCTATAAAATGCGCAGGAGATTGCACATCTCCCTCAGAGCAGATGGTAGACTAGAATGGCCTGTCTTTGAGTCAGTAACGCAACTCCTCAGCACTATATAAAAGGCTGAAAACAGTGCCTGGTGCAAAGCAAGTTCTCCATAAGTTCTAGCTGGCATTATCAAGGCAAGTGACTGGCTTTTCTCACTAAGGACAAATGGACTTTAGCACAGAGTAGAAAGCAAACACAAACTTATTTACTCTTATTTATAAAGTTGCAAAATACAAACTAGAATCTTCAGCCAGAACTTTTTGTGATTAAGGTCCAGCTCATGTTGTTTCAAGCAATGAGAAACGACAATGTAGGTAATTACTAAAAGGTTTTCTTATGTATTTTGTACTATACTGGTCTGTTTTATGATAAAATAGTTTCTAATAAAGTGGTTTCCTACTATTAGATACACTTAAGATTCCAGCTCACAGTGACCCTGCAGAATAGAGTAGCATAGTCCATAGTTACCAAAGCTATAAATCTTTACTGAAGCAGAATGCCTCATTTTATTTGCCACAAAGAAGTTGGTGGGTTTGAAATGCTGACCTTTTGTTTAGGAGCCAAATTCTTTAATCACTATGCCATCAGAGCTGCTTTTCAGATACATTTGGGGAGTTTCACATTTGGAGAGTTGTACCCTACCTTATAAATAAAAAATCTAGGATAGGATCTAGAAATTACTTAAAACAACTTCCCACTTTGTTCTAATATGAGGGTAACTTTGGAAACCATTAGCCTGGACAGTCATAAACGCTAAAATATTCCTTTTAAAATGTCATCTCACATTTTCCAGATGTGGACAATGACCCCACAAATCTATAACTGTCTCTTGCCACAACTGGAGCTAAGCTTGACTTGCTTTTTTTTTTTCCCCAGGAGAAAAAGTGGAAGGGAAGGGAGAAATAATTTTATAACTTTATTTCAAGCAGTTAAAGATTGCTCTATTAGTCTACTGAAGAGTAAATTATAACTACTCAAAAGAACATTTCCAATATGCTAATAGCATGAAGTATTTACTCAGAATTTATAATGCATGCTTATAATTTTTTTTTGTCAAAGCCTCTTATATACAATTTATCGACTCCTATTTCATAAACAAGGCATGTTAACAATGAACTGACAAGAGACCAGAAAAGCCGTAAGAAGAGCACCAATTTCCCAACTCCTGACACTGTTTGCTTGTCTATTTTACCCTCACTCACGAAAACAGGATACAATAATAGAGTTCCTAAAACTGAACCAAAGTAATAAGGTCATGTTCTAATAGGTCATTGCTATAACCTATCCAAGAAATTACATTTTCTCTCGAAGTTTAGGCATATATTACAAATTTAAATTACTGGCTTTTTCCTATTTATAACAGAAAAAGAGTATGTGTGAATGAGACTAAAGTAACTCACTAAATTAGGAAACTGATTAAGCACTGCCAAAACCAAATAGACTGACTCACAATTAGTAGGATATTCTTAGGAGTCAAAGTCACTTTAACTATTTTTTTTCATATGGTTCTATACCTGTCAACTCTATATACAACACATGTAGAATAAATGAAATTAATTTTGAGAAGAAATAAATGAAGACATAGGTCTATAAGGAAGAGCAATGGAATTTTATCATTGTTTATTTTCAGGCTACATAAAACTAAAGTAGAACTTTAGCAATTAGAAATAGCTAATTTTCTTTAAAGTATATTTAATATAAAATAAAATGTCATAACTATTTTCACATTTAATTCTGCTGAGTTAACACAGCTCAGTAACTGCATTAATGTTTTTACCAATATTAAAAATTGTATTCTTAACTAGTTCAATTCCAATCAAGACATTAGTGTCAGAAATTGTACAAAAAAAATTTCACAACAAAATGTACATGGTAGGACCATTTCCACAATCTTACAGCAATTCTATTGAAAATAAGGAAAATCAGTAAGAGACTATAAACACATTCTAACCAAACAATAACATATATTCTATGCAACTTACTGTAAAAAGCCAAATCTATCTGTGACTTTGTAAACAAGGTAATTAGCATCTTCCCACGGCTCAATCTCTGCACCTTCTCGACCCTAAAAGAGGTTACGAGAGATAAAGTGTGACTGTGAGTTTATAAAACAGAATACTATTTTTTTATAATTAAAAGAACTTTATTTTATTAATAAGAGCAGCAAAAGACACAATCAATATTAACAGTCTATTAAACTAACGTAGGCAGTATCAGTATTTCCCTAGTTATAAACTAGGAAGATACTGTTTGTCAGCAATAACTGACACATGGCTAAGTCTTGATCAGACCAAATTGAGAGCAGCTGCAGTGCAGTGATAAGTCTTCATGCAGTGAATTATTTAAGACTTTCGGTCACAATCTTTGTGGTTCTCACAAAATCAGTGTGTGGGTTTATGCAAATAAGATATTTGTAGTCCACCAAGAAGATCTAACAGCCTGATAACAATACCAATAGGGTGCATGGAATCCCTGTGGGTGTGTGGGGTCATGAAATAAGACAACAGGACCCTAACAAAGGATTTGACTAATCCAGAAACAGAGTGAGGGCTATAGAACAACGTGAGGCAAAGCAAGCTTATTGTTGTTATGTGCTGTTGATCAGCCCTAAACCCTGCTCTATCCTATGCCAATCTTACTGTCTCTTAACACACCTACCCTCATTATCCCAGTCACTGAATCAATCAATCTCTTCGAGGGTCTTCCTCTCTTGCGCTGTCCCTCAACCCTCCGAAGCATGATGTACCTCTCCAAGGATTGGTTTCTCCTTGCAACATATCCAAAGTATGTCAGATGAAGCTTTGGAATCCTTGCATCCAAGGAGCAGCCTAGTTTCATCCTCTCTAGGATTAATCTGTTTGTTCTCCTAGCAGTCCATGATATATTCCGTATTCTTCTCCAGCACCACAGCTCAAAAACTGTTCTCAAATCAATTCTGTTTCTATCATCCCTAGTCAGTGTTCACTTTCTGATGCATAACATGTATTTGCAAAGACCATGGCCCGAATCAGGGTTCCCTTAGTCTCCAGACTGACACTGTTGCTCTTCAGTACCTGGAGAGGTCTCTGACAGCTGACTTTGCAAATACAATTCGTCTTTTCATTTCCTGGCTCCTGGTACCAAGAGTGTTGATTGTGGAGCCAAGCAAACTAAAGCTGCTATCAATTTCAATCTCTTCGTCTATCATGATGCTGTAAATAGGCCCAGTGGTAAGAAACTTTGTTGAGCTTCAATCCATATTGAAGGCTATAGTCCTTGACCTTCTGCAGTAAGCGTTTCAGGTCCTCCTCAGTTTCTACAAGGAGGATTGTATCATCTGCATAACACAAATTGTTGATAAGTCTTCTCCAATCCTGATGTCACATTTCTCCTCATAGAGCACAGCCTCCTGGATAATCTGTTTTGCATATAGAATGAAAAGGTGTAGGACATCCCTGGTGGACATCCTTCCCAATTTTGAACCATGTAGTGTCTCTTTACTCTGTTCTGACTGCCTCCTGGTCCAAGAATAGGTTTCGCATAAGCACAATCAAATGTTCTGGGATCCCCATTCTTCTCAGTTTCAGGAACAATTTGCTAAGATCCACACAGACAAATGCCTTTGCATAGTCAATGAAACACAGACAGACATTCCTCTGGTACTCTCTGCTTTCAGCCATTAACTATAATATACCTAGTATCACAGCCTCTTCTAAACCCAGCCTGCACTTCTGGCAGTTCTGGGCTGATGTGCTGTTCCAGTCGTTTTGAGATAATCTTTAGCAGAATCCTGCTTGCATGTGATATCAGTGATATTGTTTGACAATTTCTACACTCTGTCAGGTCACCTTTCTTTGAAATGAGAACAAATGTAGATCTCTTCCATTCAGGTGGCCAGGTGGTTGTTCTCCAGAGTTCTTGGCTCAACTTTGTGAGCACATCCAGGGCAGCATCTGTTTGTTGAAGTATGTCAACTGGTATGCCATCAATTCCTGGGGTTTTGTTTTTTGTCAATCTTTTCAGAGCAGCTTGAACTTTTTCCTTTATCACCAGAGGCTCTTGCTCCTACATTGTTTCATGAAATTCTTCTGTCTGCCAATTCCTTTTGATACAAAGATTCTGTTTACTCTATCTTCTTTTAATGCTTCTTGGATCATTTAATATTCTGCCCAAAGCATTCTTAAGTATCACAACTCGAGACTTGAAGAGAACCACTCACAGAGCAAGATAGAGATTTAACAACCACTAAAAAAGAAGACCCAGGAATGTAGCATATCCTTTGGACCTAGAGTCGCTATACATAAAACTGCCTAGGTCATGGAAACAGAGAGGACAAATACCTGTTGTAACACAAGAGAGAGACTAAGATGGAGAGACAGTGGTAGAGTAGCAATGGCAGCAGGTCCAGGAGGCTGCTATAAGATGTATGGTGGGATTCCCAGTTCATGGAAAGAGTCAACCACACTGGGTGTGCCAGTTTAAGAAGCAAGAAAGTTCAGTGCCTTTGGGCCTAGACATCCTGGCTGAGTGGGTGCCTTCAGACACTTACTGGAAAAGCTAAAGAGCCTCCTCTGACTGTGGAGCTCTATTCTGAGTCATTCCTGATTCTGAATTGTAGTTTGCTAGCTCTCTAAAGGAAGCTCTGGTAGCTGAGTGGTATGAAGTTTCACTGCCAACACAAAGGTACAAGGTTTGAAACCATGATCTACTCCACAGAAGAAAGACAGGCAATCCAGTGTGATTTACTGTCTCTGAAAACCCACTGAAAGGTCAGTGACCTATGAGTCAGTTCTGACTTAAGAGTACATAATAACACAACTTCCTTACAAACTCATAATTTTAAGTATAGTCTGTGAGTTCTGCGTGGCCACTGAAATGAATTACTGTACTCAACACAAGAGTGGAGAGTTCCATGAGAGAGATGGCTGGTGTTAGAAATGATAGAGAGTTAGGAAAAAAGAGGTATGTATGTCTGATCTTGCCTTATAGGAATCACCTTTGAGTTATGAATTTTGATTCTCCTCCTCTCTTGTGAAATTTGAGGAGGTCCAAAGTTCTCAAGCTCTCATTTTTACAAAGATAGAGTGGTAGATATGGAATGATGTGAGGCAAAGAAAACAAGGCTATTAAAAACAACATTATACTTCAAATAAACAAAATTAAAAAAAATATTCAGAGTTTGTCCATAAATCATGCATGACAAAGTTTATGTACAAACAAAGCAACTCAAACATAAACTCCCAAACTAAAACAAAAACCTGTCAGAGAAAGTTTACAAATCATAGCGTTTTTTCATACAATCATTCATAGGTTTTTTATAACATTAATTATCATTAATGTAGTTAGTTAATTCTAGTATCTAACCAAACTTTTAATTAAGTCTTAGAAAAAAAAGTATCTTCTTTGTCTTTACATACAAACTTCTCAGAAAAGACACCTTTGTATCTCTACTTCTTGATGTCACAGTCCCATCAGCCCAAAAACTACAATCCTGCCAAAGTGAGAAGTGACCCTCTGAGTTGATTCTACCTCATGACGACCCCTGTGTATCAGAGTAGGATTGTGTTCCATGGGGTTCTCAATGACTAATTTTGGGGGAAGGAGATGTCTAGGTCTTTCTTCTGAGTTGCCTATGGACGGGCTTGAACCTCTAACCTTTTGGTTGGCTGTCTAGTGTGCTAACCATGTGCATCACCCAGTGACTCTGGACATGATTCAGTCCTTATCTTATGGACCCTGTAGGTGTACATTAGTGTTACTCACTTCCTGTTGTCTGACTTCCATGTCACCACACTTTCTAAGTTCTTTTCTTACCTTTCCAAGTATACTTTTAAAGATTTTTTTTTTTTCAGGGGCACCTCTTTAACTCCGTGTGGATGGGCCAGAGCTTGCTTTCTTGTCAGTTCTTCTTTACTCTAGGTACTTATTTCCTCTTGTCATTCTTAACTTTTTATTTGTACAGAAACTCCAAATGTAACTGTTGGTAATATTTACTAAGATTTTAGATACTAAAACTCAAATACCTTGTGGACACCTCCATCTGAGTATATTTTACAGTAATCTGCTCATATGTTCTCCTCTTAAAAGACTTTGACCATCTTGTGGACCAAAATCGGTGTCATTAATTTTTATATTGTGAATCCCCATGCCTAGCACAATGCCTAGGACTGAACACCAAGTGGTAACTGCATGAGGGGGGTGGAGCAGATGCACACAAGCATAAGTGAATCATATTCTATTGGTTTTAAATTATTTAAGCAGTTAAATAAGCTAATTGGGTTTTTCATTACTCTAAAACCTAATCACAGTAATGGGAAGCTGTATCTGATATTCCAAACAAACAACCTTTCTACAAACTCCAGGACTATAACTGTTAAATTATTAGGCCTGTGGGCTTCTCTGGAAACAAGGGCACAGACCAGATGGCCTTCTATAATTTCACATTCATATTATTCTCACTGATAATAAAAAAGGTACCAGATATAAAATTGTATACCAGCAATACATATGTATAAAATAACACCTTTAAAGTTTCTGCTACTACTTAATATAGACCTCAGGAGGTGGGGTAATAATTGTAAACAATTATAATTTTCTAGAATGTCAGAAATCAGATTCTAATTCACACAAGCAAAATGCTAATGGAATCTGAAATATATTGGAAATTACACATAAATATGTAAGTTTCACTTTTTTACATATATGTTAAATTTATAACAACATATACAAATTATATATTTCATGTTATAGCTATTTCATTCAGCATATTATTCAAATATCAAAGTCCCTAATATGAGCCAGAAACTATTTTAGGTCTTTAGAATACAGCAAACAATAGAGGAATCCCTGCACTTACAGAGTTTACATTATGTAAGGAGAACAGATAATAAGCAAAACAAGTAAAAACAGACAGTTTTTTAGATATTGATAAGTTGTTTTTGTTGTTGTTATGTGTTGTCCTATCACCTGGGACTAACAGCAACCCTATGTACAATAGTTCTGAATCCTACCCTGTCCTGAGCCTGTCTCATTGACTCCTATACACCTAATCCCAATGGTCTAGTTATTGTATCAATCCATCTTATCTGGGGTCTTCCTCTCTTATGCTGTCCCTCCACCAATTGGAGCATGAGGTCCTTCTCCAAGGATCGGTCCCTCCTGGCCACATGCCCAAAGTATTTGAGACGGAGCTTCAAAATCCTAGCCTCCAAGGAGAAACTTGGTTTTACCCTAAGACAGATCTATTTGTTTTCTTGGTGGTCCATGGTATATTAAAGACTCTTCTGTAGCACCACAAATCAAAAGCATCAATTCTTCTTCTATCCTCCTCATTTATTATCCAGCTCTCTAATGCATGGCAAGTAATTGTGAAGACCATAGCCTGGATTAGGTGCACCTTAGTCTCTAGACTGACACTGTTGACTTTCAGTACTCTCTGAATGGTCCCTGACAGGAGATTTATCTAAAGCAATTTGCCTTTTCATGTCCTAACTGCTGGTGCCTTAAGTGTTGATTGTGGAGCTGAGCAAGCTAGACTGTTAACCGCCTCAATCTCTTCTCTGTCCATCTTGGTGTTGCCAACTGGCCCAGTGGTGAGAATCTTTGTCTTCTTGATGTTGGGCTTCAATCCATATTGAAGACTACAGTCTTTGACCTTCTGCAGCAAGCATTTCAGGTCCTCCTCAGGTTCAGCAAGCAAGGTTGTGTCATCTGCACAATGCACATTGTTGGTGAGTCTTCTGCCAATCCTGTTGTTCCATTTCTCCTCATAAAGCCCAACCTCTCGAATAATCTGTTCTGCATGTTGATTGAAAAGGTGTGGAGACAGGACGCATCCCTGATGCACTTCCTTCCTGATTTTGAACCATGAAGTGTTTCCCTGCTCTGTTCTGAGGACAGCCGCCTGGTCCAAGTATATGTTTCATATAAACACAATCAAGTGTCCTGGGATTCTATTTCTCCTCAAGGTTAACAACCAGGCAGCCTAGGCCCAGATCTATGTCAGATAAATAACACTGGCCTGCCAGATCCAAAGGAGACAAAGTTTTCACCTTGGAAATGATCATATTCAGAATGATAAGTAAAAAATCAAGTAGGAAGAAAGGATACAAAGTGTGGTGACAGAGTTAGGTTATCAAACAGGACATTCAGATAAGACCTCATTAAAAAGGTAGCATCTGTACTTAGATTTGAAATATCTAAAGGAATGAGCATTAAGATACCCAGAATACAAATATTCTAAGCAGAAGAAAAAGCAATAGCAAACCCTGAGGAAGAATGAGTAGGCAATGGTAGAGGAACAGCAAAAGGTCAGTGGGTGTGGCCGAGGGAAAATGGAGAGAGACTGGGAGGAAAATGGGGGGAGGGGTGTATTATCTCAACATTCATTAGCTGTAAACTAACTGCCTCTTTGATATACGCTCTCCATTTCAATTTAAGTGGGTTTTGGTTTGTTATAGAAAACTTATTCAATACTTACTCTGTCATATTTAGCAACAATTTCAGCTCGCTCCTGGGCAAGTTTGAGTGCTACATCCTGGTCTGAATCTAGAGAGAGATTATAGATGAACTGTTATTCAAAGAATTATACTATAAATGAATTCTAAAATTAAGACAAATGAAAAATAAAACAGTAATATTACATTAAATGAAAAACCTGCAAAAATCAAACAAAAATCTCAAAAGGGTGAGTTTTATATTTGCGATTACAACTTTGTAACATCAACATTTTTAGCATCTTAATATAAGATTTTCACAAGAAGACCTAAAGAGAATATGAGAAATCACTTCTATCAAGAAAGAACATTGAATCTGATGTCACAGAAATGGATACTGAAGTAGAAATAAACTGACAATTCAATCTTAATTTTCAGATAAATCACCCTGTGGTTTAAAGACTTAAAAATTAATCTGCCCACAAAATAAACATGTAAGATATTCTTCAAGTTAAGGTATATATTAGTTACATGATGAAAAAGCATTACATGTCTTAATCTAGCATGTCTGGTCCCCTTTATCTAATCCTTCAACTACTACAATAATTTCCTACTTTATTTTATTATTGCCTTCTTGCTTCTTCCTTATTACTTTCAAAAATACAAATCTAATAATAAAAGTAGAGACTGGAGCATGAAGGCATATGGGTCTGTCTACATATCCAAAGCACCACAAAATAAAAGTTAAAAAAACAAAACAAAACAAAAAAACAGTGATAGATGATAAAAGGTCCATCTGAACAATAAGAAAAGCATTCCAGCAGAAATATCCACGAATCATGAGCAAAAAATACTCATGAGCAACAATACAAGCAAAAACGACACTTGTGTTCTTAGTAAATTCCTAGCAGATAATTGGACAGTAGTGCCAGGCAGCAGACACTACACTATGTACTTTCCATAGCGTAGCATCTTTACCTAGTGTAGCATCTCTACTCCTTTAATTCTCACAGTAACACCTCACAGTAATAATCATTATTAGTCCTATTACACATATTTTAAAAGTGAGGTTTAGAGATTTTAAACAACTTGTCTAAGGTCACAATGCTAGTAAACTGCAGAGCTAGGATTCAAAAGTTCATAATTTTAACCACTATTTTCTACAAATGATTACTAAAGATAATACCAAAAGGACTTCCATTTAAAGATAGTGACAGAACACTTTTATATCCATTCTTCTAAAGGCTACTATAATAGAAAGAACTGCTGCTATTGAGTTGATTCCAACTCACTATGACCATGTGTGACCGAATAGGGTTTTCAATGGCTCAGTTTTTCAAAGAAGGTTGCCAGACCCTTCTTCCAGAGCACTTCATGGTGTACTCTAAGATCTAACCTTCTGTTTAATGGCAAGAGCATGAAGTAATTATCTGCATCACCCAAGGAGTAAAAATCAACAATAAAGAGGTGAAAAGGAAATAAGTCTACAAGGACTAGGGAAAAGAGAAAGGCAGGTAAACAGACAAGAAACAGACTGGGGAAATGGGGAAGAAAAAAAAAAAGAACTTTGCAAATTGAAAGATTCAGCTCAGAAAAAGCAAAAATTTAAAAGTTGTTGTTAAATGCCACTGAGCAGGAGCAAACTCATAGCCAAGCCTGCAGAAGGTTTTCAGAGGCTGTAAATTGCATGGGAGGAGATATCTCACCTTTTTCAGAGAAGCAGTCTGGAGGATTGCTGCCTTTGTACTGTCTTTGTACTACCTGCTTTTGTACTGTCAGCATAATTCCTTACTACTAAGTTACCTGAACTCCCTAAAAATTAAGTAAACATTAGGAAAAGGTAAGAAAACCCAAAAATTTACTGTCACTAATGGGAATCTACTTGGGTTTTTGGAGACTATAAATTGCACCTGAAGAAATGCCCTTTCCCCCCAACCCCATCTCCACTGTTCCCTGAAGAGCAGTTGGTAGATTTGAACCATCAAAGAGTGAGGTCCTTGGGTTAGGAGCCTTTGGTATGAACTATTCATACACTGGTGCTCCTCTTGACAAGGTGAGAAGCAACATTCTCCCATCCTCCAATGGTAGCTCCCAAAGGCTGAACTGAGTCACAGCTAACCCTCCAGCAGGTTTTGGAAGGTTATAAACCCAAGGCAGAATTAAAAAAGAAAAAAATTAGATGTTCATTCACTAAGAGTTGGAGGGATATGCTGCTAAGTGTATAGCAGAGGTGAATGCAGGGCACAGAATCAAATTATCATACTTAAAAAAAATACAAACCAGGATGTGGTGATATAATCATGTTATCTAACACAAAAAAGGAATCAGTGGATATTGGAGAGTTGTCACTTCCATAAAGTGAACATTAAGGAAGGAAGAGTGTGAAAATCTGCTAGTTAGAAAAAGTCTTACATATTACTGCATCTTTAAACCAAATACATGTTTGATAAAACTAAAATCTAATCTTAAAACTAAGGACATAGCATAAATCCTTATATCTTATTAGTAACTAAAAATAATAAAGTTTTAAAATATCAATTGGTAGTTACAAAACTGACCAAAATAATATACTGATGTTATTCAATGTTTGTAATTCCTTCCCCTGTGGAACATCTTTCTGAAAAGTAAATGGTTAAAATACACCAAATACATAAATGTCAAATATGTGAAAAATTGTTTAAAACAGTAACACAACTTTTTTAAAAATTTAAATTATTGAGGAAAATATTTCATACTACTGCTTTTCTTACATAAATTTGGGCATGCCAGGTTTTAGAGGAAGTGAATAAATAAATAAGATGGTTCAAAAAATGACCCCAAAAATTTTAATTGGAGGAAAGTGTTTTGGGAGAAGTGAAAAAAAAACAAACAGAATAATTCCAAAGAATGACCCCAAAATGGTAAAAACAGATCAAAATTATATCCCTGACTTCTACAGTGAGCATATCCAAGCAGAAGTCAGCTAATGAACTCCATTATATATCTATACTTATTATCCTAACTTAGACTATATAAGTTTTTATCACTCTTCCTCAGTTTGGTAACATTACACTTACATTTCTGCCAACAAAAGGATTGGAAAATAAATGAATAGAAATTAAACAAACCAGGGAACTTTGCTATTGTTTATACTTCCCCCCCCATTATCAGAGTTGTTAAGCATGAATTTTTACAAAGTTGAGATCAAATTTAATAGATGACTGTTTTCATCTAATGTATTTCATACCTCTCCTTTGTTACTGCTGTTGGTCCAATTTATGAGATAAATAAAAGTTTATAAGGGTAAAGACAAAAACTGGAAACAGTATGGAGTTGGTAAGTCAAGATGAAAAGAAAGTATCAAATATCATTGAGGCAAAATGGTAAGATACAAAGCTTTATACCAATTGTTTTAATCTCAAATTTCTAGGAAGACAAAAGGAAATAGTTTAATAGAGGCAGTACTGTTAAACTACTACTTATTCATTAGCAATTGTTAAATGTTAAATTGTTAATTGTTAAATATAATATTTTTAAGGGAAAACAGGACATGCTTTAACAAGCCTAGAAGAGCTGATTCTATATCAGTTAGCTAGTGCTAAAAATTTCTAAATTCCCTTAAAATTTCTTATTCTTCTCTTTTCCCATGTAGCAGAAATGCTGTGCAATATATTCTAAAAGAAAGTAGATTTAAAGTCAAACTAAATTAATAAAATAGCCAAATATCTTTCTTCAAAGAAAAAAAATAGAAGTATCAACCTTTCTCATCATGGTCAAGTTAGAGGCCATATTTAATAGCCTATATTGTGAAGCAATTATCTACAGATCAAGAATTCATAAACCTTTGCAAGATTGACTATAAAATATTACAGTTAAATTATTAAAAATTAAACGAGAACATCTCCTTTGGCTTCATTTTGATTACTTATTTAGACATTCCATTGACAGAACAAAGATTATGCCCCAATCACCGCCCACAAACATCAACAGCTGTCAGATATCTCTGTGCAAGTGTGCACCATGTTCTAGACACCACTAAACAATGTCAGCTATGTTAGTTGACACTCTCATCACATGTCAATGTTGTTGTTAGGAGTTTCTGAAGTCAACTAGGATGCCCTATGAACAACAGATTCAATCTGATTGAAACCTTGCCTCATCCTGTACCATCCTTACAATTTCTGTAATGCTCAAATCCACTGTTGCAGTCTGTGTCAATTACTCTCATTCAACGTCTTTAATTTAGGAAGCTGTGGTGACCTAGTGGTAAGAATCTTCATAACAGTCCTAAAGGCTTAAGAGTTGAACCCACAAGATGATCCATGGCAGGAGAATGGGCAAACTCCTCCTGCACAATTTACTGCCTCTGAAAACCTACTGGAGGGTCAGCTATGACTTGACAGAACACAGTATCTAAAATTTAGTCACAACAGCATCCTATCAGTTCCTACTACATCTTCATATTCTCACTGTATAATAAATCCATAATCAACAATGACTTGTCTGGAAAAACTAATTTTGAAATACAGTACCTTTTCTATTTGGTAACTAAGGGGAAACAACATAGCTATTTACATAGATGTAGCTAAAGAAAAAGTTCCTGTTAATAAAAATAAAACCATGTAGACTAACTACTTTAAATCTTCTAAGCCCTCTTACTTGCCAAGATTCTCATTTTATTTTTAAGATATTATTCAGGATTTCAAAGTACAGAAAGCATATTCAAACAATAAGAATCAGAAGATGTTTTAATAAAATAGTCAAGTACACAGGAAAACATCACTGGGCATATATTTATGGAAGAAAACTACAATTACACAATTTCATGAAGTATTTTAAAACTTGACATTTTAAGCTCGGAAATGCCACATAAAACTAAAAAAACTTTATTAAAAAATCAATTATTGTATCTTAAAACCATTAAGTTAACCCAAACTATAATGAACAATTCCACATAAAGCTACTAAATTTTAAATGAAACCTAACAAAACAAATTGACTACTGATAGTTTTCCCCCAGTGTGTATTTTTACAGACAATTATTAACTGTACATAAACAATTTCATTTTTAAAAGTACTTTACCCTTTTTCTGGCCTTGAGAATAAACAATTGCTTCAGTCCTCATAGGGTAAA